ATTACATAAAAAAATCTGTATTTATGTGTAAATTAAAATAAATACTATTATTAATTAAAGTAAGTATTAATATTTCTATCGTTGCCGTGCAATAAATGTTCCGTTAGTTTTACCGGTGTAATGACATTAATAAAATATCTGGTTTAATTTAAAATATCCTTTAATCGATATAACCGTTAGCGGATTTCCAGACGTACGCGTTTTATAAAACTTTTATTATGGTTATAGAACGTGAATTATGACTTATGTATTAATAAAAAATATATTATTATTTATTGATATTTGTATTAGTGTGATATATGTACCTATATTAATCCAACTTGGAGAGAAGAAAGGAACTTTGTTGATTATTGATAAAAATATTTTAATTATATTAATTTATATTGTCCATAGAAGTTGCAGGAAAGTCGTCTACGCTGTCTACCAGATTATGTCGACCGGAAATTTACGTAGGTCACAAATATGACCCTATCTGGCATTAGGAGTAGAGAGGGGCCCAAAAAATATTGACTTGATGTCGTGCAGGATGACATGCGTGCCAATGGACTCAATAAGAAGGATGTCAAAGTGGAGGAGACTAAGTAAAGCGGACCTTGGGTTCTCCCGCTTTGGAAGGGACGAGCGACCGGTATAGACGCTAAGATGATGATGATGATGATTGTCCATAGAAATTAGAAACCTTTAAAAGCGTCTAAACACTTACACATGAAAGAATTACAACTTTAAAGAGTAGTGAGTTTTAAGAGGAAGAATGACGAAGACTTGCCTTCGAGCGTATTGATTCATAAAAAAATAAGTTTGCATTTTTTTTTTTGGGTATAGGTTATGTTCTATCTGATTCCAAAATATATTTAAACTTAAAACAAACTTAAAATATTATATAATTAAATAAATCATTGATTCTCCCACTAAAAATATTACCAAGAAGATCCGTTTAAAGAATTGACATTGGTTCTGCTTATTTATCTTGAATTAAAATTATAATAGTTAATTCTTAGAAAAGTTGCTTAAAAATCTATTTTTATTACCATAAAGCTTAGAACCATTATCGTACGTGCATCAATATCGTGACGAACATCAGACATGTATTTATAAATGTAGAAGGGAAAATCCTGTATTACATTTATCAATATCGAAAATTATTATTGAATACTGACGTCTAAATGTCATCGAGTGACGTATGTGCTTTTTTGTAAGTACACGATAGTGTGACTGTCATCTCATTTGACGGTAAATTAAAATGTAGTCTCAGATCGTAAACATAATATCTTAGTACAAGCCTTCAATCATTCCTTGCAGACTACGAAATTGTAGATATTTGCATGAACCTAATGAGGAGGCGTATTTCTTTGTCTTGGTAGGAAGATGTAAGGATAGACACTCGATATTAGTCTGATTGTATACGAATAAAGGGGGGCCCCGCTTATCCCTTTTTATTATGTTTTTTATTATATTATGCAATATTTGAGCACTCTCTACTATGTGTATTTTTTAAAAAAGGACTATATTACTTTTACCCAATATCCCTTTAAATGATTAAATCCTCAAGAAAAAATTAAACTAATACATATTTACCCACAGTACGCTGATTTAAATAAATATTGAAAATCAATCAGAAATCATTTACTAGAAGATTTAACAGGTTATTGAAACTTCCAACATGGTTGCGTTAAAGGTTTAACGCAATTGAGGGATAATAAAAACAGACAGAGCGAGAGTTAATGCGTGACCCTCGAGAGCATGCGGGCTATCAATTGTGACTTATAAATAATGTTAATAAAGTTTGTTTTAAAGAAACACAAAAAAATCCTTAAAAATCAAGTTCTACCCTTTTGTGTTTTCATTCCGGCATTACGAAGTATTACGAGGGAACTCCTGGCAGTAACATTATTTTAAAGTTTCGATAGCTTTTAGCAGGGCCGTTTAATCCATTAGGCATTATAGGCAACTGCCTAGGGGCCCTGCCACGTTCAGGGGCCCCTGTGCTACAGGGAAAAGAATGGGCAATGTTTCTTAAACAGTAAAAAATTAATTTGAAAATTTGCTCTGTACATCGACGCTATTTTAGTACATTTCGGAACGCATTCCTTATTAGATATTATTATTATGATTATTATTATAGTTTAAAAGTTCATAACGCAGTAATATAATTGCAAGCAATTTTATCGCGGTAATTTAATTAAAAACGCTCAAAACTCTTTGTTGTGAATGCACACTTACTATACTGGTACCTACCAAGTATGTATATTCTATGGCCAAGCTACTTTCATAAGGTTGGCAGTACTGGTTCGTTGGCATGACCGGGGAATGAAATTAATTAAAAACTGTCTTCGTTCAACGACGTCTCAAAACCGTTTAAATTCATTGGCTATAATGGCAAATGAAAATGACGTGTTGGAGAAGATTACCTTTCAGGATATCTTGAACGATTTTGTATCAAAAAAAGTTAGAAGAGTTAATATTTAAGCTATGTATGTTTTTTAAATGCATAAATAAACATTCTGTTCATTTGATTCAACATTTTTATTGAATAATATGATGATATACCCAGGTTAGTAAAAAACGGTGTAATTTTGAATTTTGTTGTGTTAAAGAAAAAATTAGAAGAGGGTAGGGGGCCCTGGATGAGCATTGCCTAGGGGCCCCGACAGGCATAACCCGGCCCTGGCTTTTATCAGAACGTATCCTACTAATACTATAATTGCGAAAGTTTGTGAGTGTGTGTGTATGTTTGTTACTTCTTCACGCTCAAACAGCTGAACCGATTTAGATAAAATTTGGTATACAGGAAGCTGACGTCCAGGAATAACACATAGGCTATTTTACATCCCGGAAATCTCGGAAATCCGCGGGTAACACCGCGGGGCGCAGCTAGTTATCATATAAAGTTAAGATTTATAAGAAAAAAAATCATAACATTTGTAATGATGTAGATTCATCAGTTTTTTTCCTTAAGAATGTATGCTTCTATTGTAATACTGCCGTGTGACAAATATATATTAACCTAAAAACACGAATGATCTGTTGTTTACTTATTAACCTTATAATATTTTATTAATCTCTTTTTAATCTCTTATAATTTATAAATCTAAGACAGGATAGTCGAAGACTTATAAATGAAATACTTTTAACTTTGTGACTGTCAGTATTAAGTTTACTATCTAAGTTCGTTCTAAGGGAACGTTCTTTGAAAAGGATATTATAATATTATTAAAGGCAATGGAAAAAACTTACACGACATGAATCAGAAAGAGGAAGTGACATTTAGAAAACAATACTCCAATTAAATTGCATATAATATCTTGCCTTCTAAATATTTTTATCGTGACGCTATGTAAAACAAGAGAGACAAAAGATATTATTTTGTAACGTTACTGTTGTTAACTAATAATCTACATATTTAAGAAATATAATACAAAAATCGTAAAACAATTATCTTATTTCAACAAAATAAGCTTTAAAAAAACAATTTTTTACTGTTGCCATAAAATCAAATGCTTCAGTAATTAATTCTGTAAAAGTATAAATAGCCTCCTTTAAAAATTTATGCGACGTCTTTTACAATAGATTTATGTATCGTTAAAATTTTCGTTAAATACTATACAGACATAAAAAGTGACATTTAAGAATAATTAACAAAGACGAGTCATAAAAAACTTTTTTTCAAAAAAAGCATTATTTTTATTACAAAGAAGTTAAAAAATGCGCCAATGTAGACTATGTTTTATTTCTTTTATTGAAATTGTCATCTGTTCTTTTCTTGTAAGTTTTTATTTGTATTTTAGTTTATGAAAAACTTTTTTTTATTAAAAAAATACTATTTTATTTTTTTTACATACAAGTTAATAAAAGTGTTTGTTTTTGTGATTGATTGTGATATCTTAAATTATTATCATATACATTAAATGAAAAAAAAGGGGTATTTTAAATCTTTATTAAGGCTGCAACATTATCCCAAGTGTCATGTGACGATCGTAAGTAATGTCAACTTGAAGTTTCGCTTGTTTTATATAGCAACAATAAAAAAAATAGAATTAGATCGTCCAATCAACTGTCACCTTTGTTGAGTTAGTATCGTTCTTATTGGCTAAGACGAGAAGTTTCTTAATTAACGCCAATGAAATAGTCTCATAATCTCTTATCTCACTCATTGAAAATATGCTATACCTCTGTGACTTGTGCTATGTAATGAAATTGTAGTTTTTGGAGCAGTTATAGATATCGTATTAAAATAAGTGATTTAATTTATTGGACTAATTTATTAATTTTATATATTTAGTGTAAAAACCAAAGGTAACACAAGCAGTATAATTACTATTACTTACTGTTATATCTGAAACAATTATACGCAATGCGACGAGAAGGTTGAATTTCTAAAATTATATTTATTCTAAAAATAAGACTTAAACCTATACTTTTTATAATTTAAATAAACTCAGTTTCGTGTCTAGTTTTGCTTGAACATTACTAAGTATAATTCAATACTTTAATATAACGTAAATTAGGTCATCAATTGTATGAATGTATTCTAGTTGGTACTGGTTAATGTAACACGTTGAGAAACCTTACTTTGCTCAGGAATTATCTAAAACGCTAATTTATGTTAATGCAGTTTTAAAATCCAGATAAGTCTCGAAACAATAAATATTAGACAAGGTTACAATTATTTAACTTACAGGAAAAGCAAAGAACAGAACTGTCCTTACAATTTTATTTTCTTATTAATGGTATTCATTCATCAGGTTAACTACTAGTACATAGATTTATAATGGTTTTAGATGGTAAAAAATTATAATTGTATGTAAAAATATACATTTTATGAATTATTTATGACATGTAATATTAAATAATCTTGTAAGACCTTTATCATTTGTTCCACATACTAGAAACCATATGAATTTCAGTTCACAGTGTACTCTACTGATACAAAACAGATAACAGATCATATCTTATGTAAATAGTTAGTTGTAAAATGTTCTAAGATATTTTACTCAGTTTGTATGATTTTTTTTGTATTTTTCTTTAGGAAGATGCGTTTGGTTGTTCTTCTGGCACTGTTGTTGTGCAGTGTCACTATCTCTCATGGTTTTGAAGACACAAATCTTGAAGATGATGATTTTGCCGAGTTTGAGCAGTTTGAATCTAATGATGATAATGATGCCGGTGAGGAAAATGTTAATTCGTATTTTATGTTTATGTAAAATATTTGTCTATTACCAATGTTATTTCTTCATATTGTACATTTTGATATGATCATATTAGAGAGGTTTAGAGATGATTTATTTCCCATTAAGAACAAAGTTTACTTACATAGGAAACTTAAACTAGTAACATAATAAACATTTATAAAGTTAATGAATATAAGCTTTAATAAATTAAAGCTTATATTCATATTATATTAGGAAATATAATGAAGTTAATAGTAATTTTTAGTTTGGAGTAAATTTATGGTCTTGCAAGTATTTTGTTAGATTTAAAATATTTGTCTACTCCCATATTGAATTTTTATGTTTATCATTTGTAATTTATAAATTTATTTTTGAAATACATACATGAAATGATTGATTTAAATATTATAATTTATAAAAAATGTACTTATTAGGTGTTTCTAATTTGAAGTGTAAAGTATTAGCATTTCTAATTATAATATGAAATGTAGTAAAAATATTTTTAATGAAACAAACATCATATTATAAGTACAAAGTAATATTGACCTGAATATTTTGCTATATTTCCAGGTTTCAGCAAAGAAGAGATTGATGATATACCAAAAGTAAATGCAAAGAAGGATGAATTTGATACTAACTCGGTGGAAGATGATATTGTTGTGGAGGTAAATAGTTACCTAAACTTACCTAGTTACTTACCTTGTTACCTAAGTAATATGACCGGTTAATCGGTCACAGTCACACTCACGGAAGATCGATGAGAAGTAGTCATTATGACTGCGTTTTGTCCGATGATTTAGATAGCCAGTTGCCATTTCCCTGTTCCCACCCTTTCCTGCCATTTCCTTATTCCCATCCCTCCCTTTTCCTCAATAACCTCTATTGCGGATGTCCATTGGCGACGGTGACTAGTACCCATTCAGTAGGCGGTCTAATCGTTTGCCACCTTTCACATAAAATAATGATGATATTGGATGATATATATTATTATATACATCAAGTTATTACTCATTGCAGACTCAATTGATAGACATATTTATTTGTTTTAATAAAATTATATGATGAAATCATATGCAGTAAACCATTTTTTACTGGAATATGATAAATGAAATTGCTAAGGTGTTGCAAATTTTGAAGTCTTTATTATTATTTTGGATGAATTAAATGTACCAATCTGTATTGTAAAATACTTTCTTTTAGAACTCGGTGAAATATATGTATGTTACATCTTTGTTTGAAAGGTAGCATACATGGAATTATTAACACTATATCAAAACTCAAGAATGAGATGTCTCATTCTTAATAACACTATCTTGACATACACAGTATTAATTCTTCATATGTGTTTGTTAGTCAATATCTCAAAAATTAATTGTTATTTGTATATGGAGCTTCAGTGACAGTACATACAAATTGTTTTCCTATACAATTAAGAAACAGGACACTAATAAAAATTTTAATATATTATCTTTTTGAGGTTTCTGTTTGAGGTTAAGATACAAGTGTAGTTGCATTGTTATATGCATCGTTTTTCGATTATGTTCCTTTTGTATTTTGTATTGTATTTTTTTTTCAGGATGAAGACAATGAATTTGAACATTTCCAAGATCCCGAGGAATTTGAAGGATTCCAGGAATCTCCACCCAGGAATGCAGAACAGCCAAAAATTACAATTTCTAAGGTATATCATATGTTTTTACAATTTAGAAATATATACTAATTCATATAATTATATAGCTCTAAAAGTAATAATATTATACTATACTGGGTTTTATATTCATGATTGAACTATTAGGACTCTTAAAAGATCGATTTTGTACAAGATTTTAGTTTTTAAGACTTATAAATATACATTTTTTATTGTATTAAAGACATTACAATGTTAAATACAACATCATTTTGTAAATTTTTAATGTGTAATGAAACTTTGTGAATATAATTTTTGGTCTCTTCTTCTTCTTCTTCTACCTGGCAATTTCCCAGCTATAGCCAGGGTCTGCCTTACAGGTTGTGAAACGTTTTTGGCTATTTGTTTTTACGACCGGCCGCCTGCCTGACATCAACCCTCTTTTTTTGGGAATCAACATTAATCAGTGATGTCTAAATACTCTTAGAAAGTACATATGATTCGGAAAAATATAATAATAAATAATTTTTGGTCTCTATACAAACCTATTACTGGGAAACCCCTCAAGAAACCCTTAAGGAAAAAAAAGTTGTGTTATTTGAGAGTTACTAGTTAATATAAATTTTCATTATATTTTCCATGATACACATTTATATTTATGAGAAAGCTATAAGCACAATATAACTATTTGTATTATTTTAACAAAATAATATATATATTTTTCTTTTCACTTCACCATATTGTCAGCCATTGTTGGTTATTATATAACATAATTAATTATAAATGCAGCATGATGATGTTTTTAATTATTTTTTTATATTTCAGGTACCAATAGTAATGCGTCCTCGCTGGGATGCCTATTGGCTTGAAGGTGTGTTGTGTTGTTTATTAGCAGCATATGCTCTTGTATATGCTGTTGGTCGCGCCAAGAACACAACCATCGCTACCAATTTCCTCAAGCTACATAGACCGCTGTTGGAAGATAATTTTACATTAGTTGGTAAGATATATTAAATATTTATATAAATGAAACTAATGCTAATATTTTCTGGATTATACTACGTGAGTTTATTTTTGTAAAAAACTACATATTACGAACGTTTTGGCTATTTTACAGTACCCGTAATCACGGGCAGACGAGATGAAACATTAGTATATACAAATATTAGTATATACATATTATAATAAGATACAAATATGTTAACAAAGTATTGTGGTTAAAAATAATAGTTATTGATATTTTAAATGTAATTTGATAACGATAACGTAATACATAAGTATTGATACTAGTTTTTGTTCTCGACTTCGTCTACGTTAATTTATATATGTATAGCCGCCCTATAGGCCGTCAATATCCAGATGTTAAAATTTATTAAGTTTATTTAGTGTTTTTCGATCAAACAGAATTAAATATCCAATTTCCGTCTCCTGGTTCTAAGCTATCTCCCCAATGATATTCAACTGTATCCATCTATCCATTCTTGAGTTATAAATAGTGTAACTAAAACGTCTTTCTTTTACATATAGATATATATACAAAATGTATTGTAATCTTGTATTTTGTAGGTGAATCAGGTTCAGACATGGTGCCAGAAGACCGCGGCTGGCGCCGGGAGGCAGAGCATTGTTTCACAATGTGGTGTTCTGGGCGACAATGCTGTGAGGGCATGTTGCTTACACTCAAACTCATTAAGGTATGTTATTTTATATACCAAAATTTCCTTAATTGTGACTTTTGTGAGGAATGTTTCTGGGGACCAAATTTCGGATGAGCAAAGTCATGTGCAAAATTTATTATTTCCAAGTTTATTGTTTAAAGGAGCTATTAATGTTTTTATTACCTATTGTTATTGGAGAGAAATTGCTAAGGTATTTACGGCTTAGATACTAGACTAATGATAAGTGATAATAAACCTTTTTTAATTTAATAGTCATTGAGATTATGAAGCCATTTGTGTATAAACATAAGTTGGAATCTGCGTATTAATTAGTTGTCTTGTAATAAAAGTTCTTTTCCTTCTATCTAATTGTAACAGCAATTTTATAAATGCAAAAGTTTTTGAGGATGCCTCTATGTTTGTTGCTCTTTCATGTAAAAACTACACAATCGATCTTTATAAAACTTTACAGTAATGTAGCTTAACAGAATAAAATACAGGATCTAATTTATCCTTAGAATTTATAGTTGCTACAGTATCAAGCCATAATAGTATTGTATGAAGTTGTGGTACTGAATATATGTCACTAACAGTTGCTTAACATATTAAATACATTATAATGCTTTATAAATTTTTCTCTGAACAAAGTCCACTTGTTCCAAGTTGTTAGCAAAACCCAGTACATTCTATAGGTATGGTAATAATTATTAATATTGATTTCCAGCGTCAAGACCTAGTAAATGTTCTTCTTGGCGTAGTTCGACCAAATCCTGACACGTTACTGATAAGAGTGGAACTTGGTAAAGATGATAACGATCCCTTCGTGTTATGTGTGGCTCAGAAGAAGGTTGCCACACGACTGTCGAAGGAAATGCAAGACTTGGTAAGAATCTATTTAAATCGTGTAAAGTGTAAATGAATTGTGTGCATATAAATTTGTTTTGCTAACACTTACATTTAATTTTATATTAATTACTTTATAGAACATAGAATAGAGTTCTATATTGTCCCTTATATATATAAAGCCTTATATCAGTGTTAGTAATCATACTTTAAAAAGACATAACTTACTTTTATGTTTCTTTTTTCTACATACCTTCAATAACACAATTATTTTTAATTTTTTATTCAGAAACATAATTGATAATTGCAGATATGTATTTCAAGTTATGTATATAACACATATAACATTTATTTTTGTTGCTAGATCTATTATTATAATATATATCATTTAAATACTAGTAGCGCCATCTCTGCTGCTAAATGTGTAACAATTGTTATGTACCTACTTCCACCTAGAATAATAAATCAGATTGTTCGTGATATTCATTTGTTTCATTAGAATTTTCAATATTTAAACATGAGATATATGTATTGTAGTATAAATCATTTCCCATTCATGATATATGAGTATGTAGACCGATGATAATGATGAGAATGTATACATATAAATATTAATGATAATGTCTATGTAATAATAATATTATAATTGCGACAGTTTGTGAGTTTGTATGTTTGTTACTTCTTCACGCTGAAACGGCTGAACCGATTTTTATAAAACTTTGTATACAGGAAGCTGACGTCCAGGAATAACATAGGCTACTTTACATTCCGGAAATCTGGGTAACACCGCGGGCGCAGCTAGTAATGGTATATGTGTATTTCAGAGTATGTTCTGCCCGGAACGTCGTCCCGGTGACAAACACGGTCTCCCAAGTTCTCTATCAGTGATGTCTGAATGTGCTGAAGCTACATCCGCCTTGTTGGACGCGCGTGTGGTCGCGGCATTAACACAGTATGCCGCTCACGTGCAATACATACACGTGTCTGATAGATACTGTGGACCGAAACAGATGGAGTTAGTATATATTATGATATAATACATGAATAATAATTAATATTGAATTGTTTAATTCTTTATATATAGAAAGTCGTGTTAGTTACACTATCTATTACTCAAGAACTTCTTTACTGCGTTTAAAACAAGTTCTCTCTATCAGCTATACATTTCTAATTTTCACGTACAAAAAATAGTCGCCGTCAAAAGCTAGTATATAATGTAATTACTACTTACTTTTTCCCCTTTTCCCTAATAGAGAGACATCAGTAACAAAGCCTCCAGAGACCGAGCGTGTATTATTAGCAAGTCTGTCTCTGAACGGTGAGGGTGGAGGGGATGAAGTGAGACCTCTCCTGCTGATGATCTTCTACATGCTGGACAGGATCAAGAGGCTGAGACTCAGCAAGGAGGTTAGATTATTATATTAATAAACTCTTTGCTATATAAATGTCTTTAAATGCATGTATTGTATAGAATTCTCTTGATATTTCCTATGTTATTAATAAATTTCCTTGAAAGGACTTAATTGTGGTATACATATCTGGTGTTAATTACAAATATACATTATACAAATAATGTCAGGTGTTATAGATATTTTATTCATGGTTTAAGCAAAATCTTGTCATTGTTGTTTATTTTCATATATTTATTTTCACATTATATGTTTATTTGTGTATTATGTGCATAATATATATGTACCTACATTATTTACTCTATCAAATAAAGGTTTATTTACAAGGGATCAAATATCAGTCTGTGCATCTTACTTCTTTTTTAATATTTATTTTTATTATTTGGGAAATTAGTGTCACAAATTAACATAGTTATCAAAATTTATTATTATATTTATTATTTTTGAAGGTTTTTAACGTCATATTGTTTATAGGCATTAAGTAAATGTGAGAAGCGGCGTCAAAAGGCAGCGGAGGCGTGGGTGAGGGGGGCGCACGCCGCGAGACAGGAGTCCGCTGCCTTAAGGAGAGAAGAGAAGAGAAAACAGGAGAAGGAGAGAATATTGGCGGTGAGAGAGAGAGAGAGAGAGAAAGTGTGTGTGTGTGAGAGAGAGACAGTGCTTTGAGAAGCTCATTAATGATTGTACCAATTAAGCGAAATTTCTGTAACTTATATTTACACACATATATAAGTGACAAGAATAGTTACATGTATGTTACTATGGATAAGAATGAATGTAAATAAGTAATCCTTGAGATTTTCTCCTCAGTCTCTTTTAATTTATGGATTTTTATCTAGATGTTCATAAAGATTTTAGTAATTCATTTATATATATTTTAAACACTTATATATACTTTGAATAGTATAATTTTTTTATGAATTGTTAGTTTGTTATATATTTCAATAACTAAGTATATCTGTTACAGGAAGACGATCCTGAGAAGCAGCGTCGTTGGGAGCTGAAGGAACAGAAACGTCAGCAGAAACGGAAGACTCCCAAGTTGAAGCAACTCAAAGTGAAAGCTCTTTAAGAAATAAGTGAAATAAAATGCAATATTATTTAAACAGATTTTGTTACCTACCTTTAAGTGTTAAATTCAGTCATGTGAATAAATATTTAAAAAAATATTATCTTTTTTTTTGTTTGATGTTTAAAAAACCCATTCATCCTTATAATGATAAATTGATTGAAGATGTTCACTAAATGATAATTTAGTTTTCAAAATAACAAAATATTCTGAAGTCAGATTGTCTCTATTTGCATGTTTTGATAACTTCATAGTATTATAAAAAAATAGAACAGATTATGAAATAGTATACCATATATAAAAAACACAATAAAGGTAGATTAGGTAGGAAGACCACATCATTATTGTTTTTCAAAGAAATATTTATTTAAAATATTTATTGGTAAAGGAGAAAAAAAAAACAACAAAAATATATGTTAACAAACATATCAACTACATCTAAGTCACAAAGCGAAATGGTAGCTATAAATAAAATTTATTTATTATATCAAATCATAATCTTTTAAAATACTTTGTTGCCGAGTGTAATTAAATGAGATCTTTGTTATAATTATAAATAACAACCATTACGCACACATTAACTACAAGTGCACAAATATAAATCACACATACTAAATGGAAGCCTTCGATTTATCCTCTGTGACTTAGAGAAAAAAAAACATGTGTTCTATAACACTACTCGTACTGGTAACAGCTGCGACTATTTGAAGTTAATTTAAAACATCAAACATTGTGGATAAACATAAACTTTACATGTACGAATTTTGTGACAGCAAATTTTGTTAAAGATCTAGGAACATTATTAACATGTAACTACTTCCATACTATCATACAAACATGTTCACTGAAAATACATTATTTTGTCCATTAGATCACTAATCTACCCTCAGTCACTAGTCACGAATAATCACAGTGACATTTAAATGAGATGTTTAAACGATTGTCATTCATCAACTTGTAACTTCTGAATCCTTGTCGACACACAATCCATATCGGGGGAAATTTCAGCTTTAGGCACCGGGTCTAGGTTGAGATTTATGTTCTCTAGAGATTGACATCTCTTGGCTGGGCTCTTCATGTCGACTTCTTCTCTCATGAAAGTGCTTGTCGATGGTTCTAATATATTGTACTTAAAATCGAAGTTATCGCTCAAATCACAACCGATCGCGTCGGAGTTCTCACTCTTAGTTCTATGTCGTACGGGCAGTACATACGGACAGAGCCTGCTTTTGTTTGTGCTCCGTTTCATACAATACCCCACTGTGACGTTGGACACATACCGCGTGTTTAGCCGCATCACGCCCAAATTAGATTTAGATTCCCTTAGATATTCACGTCGAGCCTCAGTTATGGCACTCAACATACCCAAGTCGTGCAGTGCCTGGTCCAAATTATTCATGTGATTGCAAGTTTTCTGTAAACAACGTAATTTACCATAATATGAGAATAACTGAAAACAATGATCGTGATATTTTGTAAAACCTTAAAAATATACATACACTTTTTTCAAAGTCATTGCATTTCATCATGAGTTGTTCTCTACGAAATTTATAAAATATGCAAAAACCGTGCGAAAATAAACATCACAAAAAAAGTCATAATAATTGATGACATTTAGCATTAACTACTAACTTGCCATGTCATAAAACCGTATGTTGCCAGGGGTAATCAAAATATTACTTTTTATTTTGCCACAAGATATAATGAAGGCACATAATTATAAATTTGTAAAAGTGAAGAAAATGAGATTTGAAAATTTGGATAAAAGTTGAGACACATTTAAGATGATTTCTTAAAACGTAATATTTCTTAAAAACCGAGAATTAGCCATAGACTTGCAAATGTTTGTAATTATAATTTATAAAGTGATCCAATAGGAAATTGCTAAAAACTTACATTACACAAAAACAGAAATGTTAAAATGATTAAATACTTTAAAATTGGTGGAAATTTCTTAAACATCTCATAAACTCTCAAACTTACCTAAAGAATATAAAGTCCATGTTGTGAATCACACTGCGTGATTTCAAGATAAATAATCCGAGTTCTGCGAACATCAAAGCCAGTATGCAAGAGAAAATTAGGAAAATATTTTCTTTATTATAAGTGAAATTTTCAAAATTGACTTAGTCTAGTGTATTATTCAGGAATACACTGTTTATAAATATCTATGGACTAGATTTATGTATTTTGTTAAGTATTTTTATACAATTGTGATCGTAAATCGTAACTAACTACTTACAACTTACATTTTTTAAATTTGGAAAGTCAATGCCTTAATGTATCCATCTATTGCAATAATTACAAAAACGTAATAATGTAAATAAAAATAAGTATATCCTCGTGAGCGGCCAATTTCTTATAAAATTACAGTTTTGAAATAATTGCATGTCACAATTACTGCATATCAATAATTTTGTAAATATAAAATAACTAGCTTTCCGCCCGTAGCTTCGCCCGCGTGGAGTTCGATTATATCGCGTTTCCAAGAGAACCTTTTAAAAGTCTGGGATAAAAACTATCCTGTTCTTTCTCAAGGTCAAAGCTATCTCTGTACCAAATTTCATTAAAATCAATTCAGTGGTTTAGACGTGAAAGCGTAACAGACAGACAAGCAGACAGACAGAGTTACTTTCGCATTTTTAATATTAGTAGGGATAAATTGACTAGCTGAATATCAATAATTTTGTAAATATATATAATTATCATTATTATAATCACAAATAATCTATTTTATTCGTGAGTAAAAAAAGGAAATATGTAAGTTACAATAAAGATGAAAGACATTGAATATTTCTTTAATAACTATTTAACAATAATTTAAAAGGGTAATCACTATTTTGGCCTTTTAAATCCAAATAAAGTTTGCAGACAATTAAGTATAGCTAGGCTCTCACATTTTCAAAGGCTTTCAAACGTAATAAAGAACGGAAACGTACATACGTAAAGGCTTATATGTACTTTAACTCACGTTTTTAGTATGCTACTAAAATATGTTAATTGTACAGCTAAGAATTTTTGTATTATTGTATATACATATTTTTTCTTAATATTGAATACATATATAAACTTATTAGTAATATTACAGCTATTCAAATATTTTGAAAGATGTTATGATTAATGACATATGGTGATACAGTTTTCCAATAGTTTTATTTAATTATTACATATTATAACAATTATGGCAGAGATTTTAAAGGAATGGTTGTCAAAAAGATTACAACGTCCTATAAAATGGGAAGCAGAAGAATTTGGGGACATCATGAAGAATGGATACATAATATCTTGTGTACTGAGAAGTTACTATGTTATTGACGACGAGAAGCATTACCTGATGAGATCTAGTAATTTAAAAGAAGATATAGCAAGCAACTGGAAACTTTTGAGGGAATGGTTGAAAGATATTGAAATAAATTTGACTGATTCAGATTTAACGAATATTATGAATGGAAAAGGTTCTGCGCTGCTTCGTTTATTCTATCAACTGTTCCTTCATTTGGATAAACGAGATCGGACTAATTTCATCAAAGAGGAAAGGAAAAAAGCATCTGCCTTAGTAGAAAAATTGGACCATCGATTCACAGTGAATAAAGTGGAAGAGGAGCGACCATCAGTTGTTGATGATCTTTCGAAACCGCTTCTAGATCAAAGGCAATTTATTGACTGGCAGAGAAAGAAGGAAAAGGAAGTAAAAGAGATTTACGATTTTATAAGACACAAATACTCCAAGATGCTTTCAAGAATAGATGAATCTAAAACTCCCTTTCAGAACCCCCCTGTTAAGCCTAAAAAAATACCAAATAAAGAAAAAAAGGAAATGGATAAGTTTGAAAAAAGATATCCTTGTGAATTTCGTAACTACACTTACGAGGAATTGTTAAGCTTAGAAGAAAAGGCACTTGAAAGAAAAAATTCACTTATAGATACAGAATGGGCTAAAAATTATATGGACAACTTATTTGCGAGAATGCACATCAAATCTGATTCAGAAGAGTTTCAGAAGCAATTGAGAAATGTTCTGAGCGGGTCGTTATGGGACCTTTCTGTTGCTGAAGAAGAATCAAAATTAGACACCGATCTTGCAAAAACAGTTATGAAATTGTCACAATTTGAGAAGCAAATGTGCACTCAAATAATGGAAACTAAACAACAGGCTCGGAACTTAGTGAAGAATAGAGTATTAGGTGAAATCGAATTCGCTGATCAAAGAACACAACAATTTAACCAGTTTCTAGATAACGTTAAAGAAGAAATTAATTTGGGTGTAGATGAAATAGATTTTGAAAAGCGAAGGCAAGATATGTTGCATCAAAGACTATATGCTGAGAAAATGAAAAGGAAAAGGCAACATTATTATGATATTTGTTACGAAACTATGCTGTCTATTGTAGATTACGCTACAAAATATGCTTACTTTAAAAAATTATTAGGAGATGACATACCTGATCATTTTATTCATGAGTGGAAAATTCTGTACTTCAAAAAACAACCCATCTTTGATATACTTAGTCCCATGGAGGATATTTTAAAAGATGTAGATATAGAAGCAGAAACAACTCCTGAAGAGGAAGAAATAGTACGTTTAGAGCTAGACAGACAAGAAGCTTTAAATGAAGAGGAATTTATAGAATATCACAATTATCTACCACCATGGAAATTAGAATTATTAATACCAAACTATGATAGTGAATGTGAAGATAGAAAATATGAGTATTTGGGATCAAGGATTCTGGGACATTTAATTTACACTTTACTCGAAATAAAGTACCCTTACCCACCACAAAGACCACCTGCTGAGTTACCGAACTTTTTTGCAAAAGCCATTTTACGCGGGCTCCCTGACAGATCTATAACAGTTGCTATGCAGATATTATTAAATACTCAAAAAATACATGTTGTTAGATTAGAATCAGCTATAAACTTCTGTTTAAGAAAATTCAAAGTTGAAATGATTGGTTGCACTGATATAGAACTATCATTTGATAAATTCATAGCCGCTGCTCAGGAGGAAGAGACAAGGGAATTGATAAAGTTGGTGAAAGCTGAAGATGAAGTCGTATACAAAAGTAGTGAAACTAACTCTTTATTATTGCTAGGCCCTACACCAGCTAATACGAAGCAGACACAAACACCAAAAACTATACCAGAAGAAGATATAAGTTTGTCAACTCCAGCAGAACTTGGTAGATACGCATACGAATCATTAAATTTTGGCGATACACTTACAGATCACTTACTTTCAGCCATGATTGTTGAGTACATAAAAGACCAAGAGGATATTAATGGATTTGTTATAATAAATTATCCAAATTCTTATCGTGAAGCCCAAATTTTGGAGGAAACTTTTTCTGGTCGTCCACCACCAGATGAAGGTGAATTAGATGATAGAGATGATATTTATCTTGAAGAAAGTATTAGTAAACATAGGAAAAAGGAGAAAGATCCCTTCAAAGACATTAGAATTTCACGACTAGTTAATGATCCTCACAAAAAAAGGCTTGAAACTCCGTTCACTAGTTATTTCACATGTTATCTTAATTTGAAAGAAACAGAAAACATCTTACATGAAATATTTATCTGGAATTTGGCTGAAGATAATTCTGAGTTGATAGATAGATTTTATGCTGCTTTAGGCATAAATTACAGCATGTATTATGAGGTGATAGAGAAAGACCAGCTAGCTTTAATATGCAAATATATAATTGGAGATTTGACTATGCCTCTCAAGTCTTACGATAATTTGTTTGGAGAAAACGTTTTAAGTGTTTTAGAATTTCCTACTTCAGAAGACAAAAGAACAAAATCAAGAGTTGTAAAACCAGAAACGTCTAATGGCAAATCTAAAGAAAGATTACGGCGAAGTTCTAAATTAAGTAAAATATCTTTCACTAATGATTTGGAAGTAGTTAAAGCCCCAGAGTCTTTAGAGGAAGTTCATGAAGATATAACACGCATGGAAATGGTCGAAGAAGAAGAATATCAAAGTAAAACATCGTCAGGTGTCTTTAGTGTGGAAGAAGTCAAATTGTTAGCGGGAGAAGAAGATTGGGATTATGGTGAATTACCTATACCAGAAATAATAGGCGTGGCACTAGCCACATGTTGGGAAGTCATAGAAAAGTCCTATATTAACGACATAAAGCAATTGTTATTCGGAAAAAGACTGCAAATGAATTGTCTCGTTCCATACACTAGGTTCATAAAGGATAAAATGGAACAAATTATAACGCTACCATCGAAAAAACAAGATTTAATCAGCGAATTTCAAAAAGAATACAATGATTTCGAAAACGATTGGCGTGATGTACATTCAACTAAAAATGAATGGCATTGCAGAATTAAAGATTTGCAACACCTTCTATACAAAATCTGTGACGAAAGAAAGTTACATGCTGAACAACAACGAAAATCACTTATTTGTGAAAATTGGGCTATGGAGGAATTGACTGCTATGGTCAATACTTACATATCTTGTATGCAAGCTGAGTTAAATAGGTATAAAATATACTTTTACTAAAAAAATTTTGAAAAATTATATATAAAAAATATATATTTTATTTCAGATCTATTTTAACGTATCAAGCATTGCATGATTTCTACTTCACAATGATAAAACATTCTCCACCAAATGACAGATTGTCATCCAAAGAATTAACAAAACTTTCAAAGGAAAGTGACGAAAGTTCTGGAAACAGAAAAGGTGGTGAGGATAAAGTGTTCAGACAACTTAAATCTGCATTCCTAGACTTGCAACTACGAAATATAGAAATTGATTATACTAACAATCCATTTAATACTATTATTGACAATAATATAAAATTTGCTCTTAAAATAATTAAAGATACCAACGACAACTATAGATCCATTATAAGTCGTGAATATAGTGAAATAGCTAAAATTGTTCCATCTTCAAAGAAAAGGGATGAAAACACATCTGAAGAGTCCGTAAATACTGAAATGAATTTTAAAGACAACGCTTTGAAATGCATTGAGGAATGGACTATGGGAATAAATGGAGAAATGTTCAGAGCGGATTTACGACTGCTCGCAATACAGTATATGTGCTATAAAGATATGAAATTGTTTAATGATCAAGTTTATAGAACTTTTACTGAAATTCAAGAATTTATAAACAGCTATTATTTAAATGAGATTAAGTCAGTGGATCGGCTATGCAAATATTTACAAATGGCAGTAGAAGACGGCAAAAGGATTCCCGAAACGCTTATTCTAGAACAAGATACTTTTATAATAGATCCTAATCTAATTCAATTCTCTGAGCCAGAACCAGAAAAAGATACTGGAATTTCAAAAGAATTTGTGACTGAAACAGAGTTTAAAGTTGCGCAGTTAGCAAGATTACGCAGTCAATTCAAAATTGTGGCTCCTAAGGGAATAATTTTATTACAATCTTTCATATACTTGATACAAGACTTTATATTCTTCGGAAAAGAATCGTGCCAAGGTCCTATTTTTCCGGATGCATGGAAACAAGTGAATCCAGAGCAAATTCCAAAACTAGTATATACCTTGTTTGGTGATACAGTTTATGTCGATTGGCGGGATTTTCTTATTTACTGTCTTAACATTAGATTTCCTACCATAGATGAACTATTGATGCTTCGAAAAACCTTTCGTTGTATTGATCTCGAATCAACAGAGACAATTTCTAGGCAAGATTTTGTATCTGAAAAACTTTGGTTCGAAGACGATTTTGATTTAGAAGATAATCAAGCTGTATTGCGAGTCAACTTGATCAAACATTTCTTGTTTGAGCTTTATGAAATTGCTGAAAATGTGATGAACTATTCCGCATTCCTGCTAGCACTTTGTAAAAGTTCAGATCCTGTTGAGGGATTTGCTATGGCTTTATCAATGGCTGTTGGCAAAAAGGTTTGCTATTTGATGGAAGAATGCCATGAAGTCGTATGTAAACTCATCAAGGAAAAAAAATATCGAGATGAATGTTACAACTGTGCTCTTAAATGTACTAATCAATTCTTGGACAAGGTTATTGCAAATGTGATTAGTACTTGTGAAGGTACCACTATTATAGAAATAGAATATTCGGAACCACTACCGGAGACTGATAAGAAAGGAAAGAAAGGTAAAGGTCAAAAAGCTAAAAAGATTGAAAGCACTCTAAGTGCTAGGTTACCAAAACAGCAAAAAAGTGGTATCAGTCGTAGCAAGTTAACGCAATCCGCAATTAACGTGAAAACTACGTTTATTTGTCCGCCGTGTGAAGAAGACACTGAAATAACTGAGGAGAAGCCTCCGGAGAAGGAAGAACTTGAAGAGGAACAAAAATATGAACCACAAGTAGATGTGAATTTAGCTTATACTATTAGTCAAGCTGCCTTGTGGAACGTATTAAAAATTTGCCTGCCGTGGCATTTTGAGTTAATACCAGAAGAAAAAGTGACTCCATATCTCGAACAAGTGAATACAGTGATAAAGGAATTAGAAGGTTACACAGATAATAAAGATATTTATATATGCAAGTTTGTAAAAGATCCAAATATTTGCACTATTATACACAAATCTAAAAAATTTGAAGCTCTTAATCTTGTTCAAGAGATCAGGAAAATCATTGTGTAAAAATATTTAATATCATTTATTTAAAGCTTCATACATTTTCTTATATATAATTTAATTTATTATTGAAATAGAAACATCTGTATTGTTTGTTTGTCATTCGATTATCTGGATTTACGTCCGACAAAATGTGCGTGAAAAGTTTTTCCTTTGTGATGTTGACAAGTCTGAATTCAATCGAATTAAGCCCCTCATTTTTGTATCTTTTTTCGGCAGAATAAAGCATCATTTTACTGAAAAATAAACATTTTCATTATTGAACTAATCAATTGAAATTGTCGCAGTAATTTGTTTCATAAAGGATTATGTTTTAATGACCAGATACTTGCTTTTGGGAGTTCTCTTTCGCCGGAGCATGCGGTAAAGTTGCGTATCTTCCTAATGAGTAGCTATAATGTAACACAGGAATCTTTTGTGCCTGTAATCTAATTCGAATTTATCACTTATAAATCGTAATTGCGTTCGAGTACTAGTATACATAATAAAGATCAAACCTGGAGTACATATCGTCATCTTCAGCCCCCCAATCCCAATAATAATTAGAATAGCCGTTTACAGCTTCGTAGTGAGTAGGTTTTAGGATGGTCACACCACCAAATAATCCATAATATGGTAGTCTAAAGGAAACCGAAAATTAAATTAACATAAGCACAATCTAAACGACAAAAGAAGAGTGCCAGCATTTTTTGAAACCTCTATAAAATTCATGAATACTATACAGATAATATATACATATTTGTAATACATTTCGGGTCAATATAAACTTTTATTAAAAATTGCAATTATAAATTTCGTAACCGGTTATTTTGTGAATATTTAATGTAAGAGCGTACTTAAATGAAAAGTAGCCGAAACGTCGGGAGTATGTAGTTTATAATCATAAAAACGCGAAGTAGAATCCGAAAATATTAGTTTAAATGAGTACTTGCGAAAATCTTAGATCCATTATGTAAGAGCGTACTGTCTTCAAAAAATAGTAAAGTATTGGGAACGAACGACTGGATTTAAAAGGAAAATCAAATAGATTTATATTAAAAGAAAATATAAAAATATTGAATTATACCTGAAATCATAACAATCCACCGCCGATGACATGTGGGTAGGTTGTCGAGGACATGAGTACAGTACTCTGTCGTCGATAGGGAGAAGATCTACGTCGTGGAAGACGTAGCAATGCCAATTACCAAACACTCGTGATACTATATAGCCTATGTTGAACAACGCTCCTTTATTGAATCTGTCTTTATCTTGAGAAAAAGATAATAAACTCATTTAGATGGCTATCCTATTGAAGTATTGTACGAACTTAATGAAATTTAACAAGAAACTTTTCCTAATAAATTTATTAAGATTTATTTTATAATTATTTTGATGATTTTTTTGTGAAAGAATTATACTTAATTTTAAACGTACCTACATATGTATATGTATATATTATATATAAAATATATGTATATTGTATGTTTGCAATGGCATAGCTTAATTAATTTTATTTACCTATTTGTTCTATCACGAAAATTTGGTATTCCAGTAGCTGCTTTTTCAAGAACTTATGCATGTGATTGAGAAATATTATAAGATTTGTTTGCCTGTTCCTGAAATAAAGATGTAATGAACAAGCTATCCGAGGTTGAAGACGGAAAAGACAGTTTGAGAATAAAATTACCCCTACCACATGTCTCTGTCGTGAAATTAAAGATTTTTAAGATAGTTTTAACATTGGTTTATGAGGAGTAATATTGGGAACGCTCTGTGTGCAGGTAGTTTGACAATAATTGTCTTAAAAACTTATATGTAGTAAGGGACTTCTATCTACTACATATTTACCAAAGTATCAAGTCTACCTATTTACATTACAATTAAATACTTTTATAATCATCTCTAAATTCGTATATTTCAGCTCTTAACCGCATTCAAAACATGTATGGGCAGAGGTAAGTAGTCTCATTATAAATTTGGTATAACTTAATAAATATATTGCTTACCTGTACGGTATTAATATAGCCACTCTATACTTTGCTCTACACTTGGTTGGTGAGTGAAATCCTCCCTCGAGTATTTCTTGGTGTTTGATTTCTATTAATTTAAGGTTAGGCACATTTTTGTTTACTGTTATGGGCCCTGGAAGTAGGGATTATATTTCATAACAATACAAAAACGTAGCTCGCCCCTTTTAAAAATGGCATAAGTACACAAAAAAATAATTATGTACTAATAATAACATATTATAAATGCTTCGTTGAAAACCTTTTTTTTTTCATTTAATATTCTTGATATATTAAAGTACGTACCTAATTCAGATGAATTCAATTTACAAAATGGAATAATACGTAATCGCAGACTTTTTGGTTGAACTGAAAATAATTTTTATAGTACAAATATATGGACTCTCATTAATTCTATTATAAGGTAAATTTAATTAAATTGGTTTTAAAGACTTCATTTAATACGATTAAAGCAAGTATAGGCAAATACTTTCTGCTTATGTTCGAAGGAATCTTTCTTATATTTTTTAACTCGAAGAGATATTTATTTAAAAATATAATATATGGTGTTATTTTGTAAAATATTTATTTCCACTAACCGGAAAAATTGAAGAAGTGTTTATGATTTAAAAATAGTTCATATGTCCAAATATCCGGCGTTGAAACGTAGTTGGATGATATTTCTGTAAAAAATATACTTATTTAATTATGAGTAATGGGGGAGATATTTTTTGATTTTAAACAGGATGTGGGGTTCTATAACTTTTCAACAAACAATGTTTAAGTAGATACGTATAATAGATGTCAGCACTGAAGAAATTAGACCCTCTATTTAAACTCTTTATTCGTGATTCTTTTCGACTCATCTAAGCAGACAAAATGAGCTTAAAGTCGTTTGCTCACAAAAAAAAAACATATCCTTTCGAATATATGTCAAAATAATATTTTTGGAACATTTTCCGTTTTCATGTTTTCTGTAGAACAGAAAATACTTACTGGGATTAAAGTTAACGTAGCACTTTTCAATACTATAATAAAAGTACAGCACAATAACCGCTTTAAAAATGAGAAAGAACAATAATACTTTCCTTCCATTCACTTGAATGAAATGTATAGAATGGATGGTCTTAATGAAACAGTTCACAGATTTTAATGCGGTTTTCATATACTTCGATTTGATTTTCATTTCCTACGTTCATATGTACGTGTGTTTGTTGGGAGAAGGAAACTAAAAATAAGACTCTGCTCTGACTGTTTATATTTTTGTTTACAGTGACTTTATTAAACAAATTTATTATAACAGAAGGAGGTTTATGGCCTTAACTGAAAATAAGATGATCTCTTATACTTAATAGCTATATTAAGAGAATTTGTTAGAATATTAAAAACTAATATTAGTTTTTTAGTTAGAAAGATTATTATATATTATACAATGTTACAAATAAATTGAGATAAAAGATAAGATTAGGTGAATTAATAGATAGCTTTATAAAATAATCGATTTTAATGTTCGAATATACTTTAATTACATAATTTATTAATTTGTATCAGAATTTAGTGAATTTAACGGAAAAAATATCAACAAAATTTATTCGGATATTGTGTAATAACATCCCGTTTATTGTAAAGATACTATTCACTGTTGCAAATTAGTGACAAACCCATTGTTACATCGACTATGCTTGTTAAAATTTTAAAGAGATCCCGTTGAAAAATGTTTAACGTTTTGCCAGTGAGAAAGTTCATGAAACTATTTTTAACGAAACGGCCAACAAGTAAGTTTAGTTACGTTAATGATCGCACCTTTTCTACTCGACTGCGGCAAATTAAAAAATACAGTTTTTTAAAAAGTCATAGTCGCTAATTTGATCTATTTAAGAGCAAAACTTAAGACTATATCTTTGGACGCTTATTTTAATTTTGTTTTGACACTACAAACGGAATAACAACAGTTTTGCATTCATAAATCTTCACACATTACGGACTTAACGTAAGCTTTGGAATGAGAAATGATTTGTGTGTACAACGATCCTAACTTGTGTAGAGCATACAGATCAAATTTGTATTTATTTTTGAGATATTAAAAAATCGTGTATTTTTATTATGAAAAACGTTTTTTGGAAACACGTATTCCATTTTTTAAAATCAAACTAATATTTTAGTGTGGTAAAGATATTTCGAAACAGAAATTAAATACAAAGTTTACTGGCAATCTTTTTTAAAAACAAACATAGCCGGAGGGTACGAGCGTTGGCAAGCTATCAAAAGGTTGTAGGATCGATACTGTCTGGACCCGTTTAATATCCTCCCCGGATGTTACGTATTTCTTATTAATTTCCCAACGAACTCTCACATTTTGCATAACCACTGTATTTAATTAAAAACTAACAAAATTTCTTATTAGTATCGGCTATATTAAATATATTTATGGACCTTTGGTTACTTTGTTTTACGTTACGTGCTTAAATATAATAAATATTCGTAAGCTTGTTGTTTATTAATATTTTTAAAGTCCTCTGAATTTGTATTATGTCGTTGAAGTCAGCCGCAGTGCGGAACTTGTCCAAATGACCACTTTAGTGTGTGTTTTAATTATTTGTCAAATAGAATTAATTTGCTTGCAAAAATTTCTTATAACAAAACAAAATTTTAAATTTTGCGGAATATTTAATATTCAAATTTTAAAGTTAAATATCAATATATCAAATATACATAGTTTGATGGCAGACTTGTTGTGATCTTAAGAAATCTCTGTTAAAAAACCAATATATTATACGTAAGTGTATGAAATATATCTATTTTGTTTATTGTAACCTTGTGCTCTTTACGCCTGAGGCAAAGCGGGGTATAACAAGTTTGACTTAGCTCAGACACGGATGAATCGATTTTGATGCGGCTTTCTTAATTTGAAAAAGTGTTTCCTTGTAACAATATTTGGTTAATATTGGTCCAGTAGTGTAAGACTTTTGTGGTATATAATTAGATACTCAATGAAGTGTTTCACGCTTGCCACTTTAATCGTGATATAACAATTAATTAAGGATGTTTCCAAATGTTATAAATTTAATTATTTTAACATTAATGGAAACTTGAAGTTTATATAGTTGTATTTAAAAATGTATATGTATTTATGTTAATTAGAAAACGCGGGACCTTAGGAAACATAAATATGAAAAATGGTCTATTATCTGATTTGTAGTTTTATTGAAAATAATTCGTTTTTTATTTCTCTCCAGAAAAGGAACGAGAATTATGTTCTTTGACAGATTGTTTGGAGAAAAAGGTTCCTGAAAAAAGTCATACGAAAATATATTTCTTGATTTTCGTCATTACTGTTATAAGTTGTATATATTTACATTTAAATAATAACTTTAAGACTGAAGGAAACGGTAATTTATTGACTTTTAGATCTTCTGAGGAGGCAAATAAAAGTAAGTCCGAATTTTAACCAAATTCCTATACTTATATAGTTTATAACTAAGTTTGTCAGTTTGTACAGACCTTGCCAATCAATCGATTGTGAATTTTTGACAACACCTTATTCAGTTTAATGTAAACCACTAAGGATTTAGTGTATGGTGAAAGTTTTAGACGTAAATAAACTCATACCTATTTATTTCATAAAGAATAAAAATGTCATATACTTACACTAGTATATATATATGTGTGTATTTATATATTATTTATTATACTTACACTATTATACTTATTTTTCTAGCGACCGTGATCAAAACAGATTATTCGTTGCCTTTGTGTTATTATAAAAAGGAAATATCTGGTGAGTTAGTTGTTATTCTTCTAAATTATTTGTTATTCTTAGACCCACTTTCACCTATCATTGTTAAATAAGTAACATCGTCTTAATGCGTTTGATGCTCCGTTAGATGTATCGAGCGTCCCACCACGCACAAATGTCCGTTAAAATGTCTTAACCAGCCACTAATATTAATTCCTGTTCTGGAGCTCCGTCTAATGGCTAACACAATGTTAATGCATTGTCAAAACTCAATTGTCCAATCACAGCCCTGATTTCTTGTAACCATAGTAACGTCATCTGTTTTGTCAGTTTCGACTATTTCCTTGTACTTATTAATAAAGTGAATTAAAATTTCATTTCCTATGATGATTTTGCCTCCAGCTTTTTTATAACATTGCAAATTAATTTTTCTTTTTATCTATTATAATTTTAACACAATTTATGCCTATATTCATAATATTACACAATTTATGCCTATATTTATAATATTACACAATTTATTGACAACCCGATTTAGACAGGTTAAACCTAGTAAATTGAAATTAAAGCTTTTTGTGTACCAAATGTATGCAACCAACGATATATAAAATTTGGTCGCATTACCTAAGAAGTGACGTATCGAGGGATATATACGATCAAAGTATAAAGTGGTGCATCGTGGCAAACGTGCCGTATTAAACGCTATAGTTTCCACTTGGTCGTCTCATAACAAGAACGAATAATTTGGTAGTCGGTCATTTGACATGACGTTTAATAATGCCTTGTTATTTTGTCATAGTGGGACGCAAATATTTTAACAGACATTTATAATTTTGAAGGTTGGTTAGTAAATGCTGTGTTTAGATTAAACAAACATTGATTGGTGAAACTGGGTCTTGGTAGTCTAGTGTAGTTTAGTAGTTGTTAGTCTAGTGAACTAGTTGTTATTTTTGTAAAACTAACATGATTAACTTTCTCTGTGTTACAGGAATGGTATTTATAAACAGATCTGTGACAGAGATATCTGAGGTCGATTATCCAATGGTTCAAAATGGTGGTTACTACGCTCCCGAGAATTGCAGATCAAGACATAAAGTGGCTATAATTGTTCCCTACAGGTATTTTTCTTTATGTCGCTCGTATCAAGAAAGTATAAATGGGTCACTTATATCTGATTTCACAGTAATATTGTTATTACTTACGTATCATTATTGTTTTTAACTTTAAACAGACATGGGAGATAACTTCATATTTTTTTCAATCAAAATCTTCTTCAAAGCTTATTTAACAGAATTATAATTTTTGGTCACGCTTCAGACCCTTTAAATATCACGTGCTTAGCGCATTGTTAGCTGTAAGACATGAGATTATTTTTTTTATATTGGTCGTATAAGATTGAACCTTTTATAATAAAAAAAAAATCGAACCCATTGCTAAAAAAATTAGACTTCACGCACTTCAAGTTCACTTCCCTTCGTCCTATAGTTTTTAGTGTAACAGTAACTAAAGTTCAGACATGCCTCGTAATTACTTCGCCACATAACGACCATTTGGCAAAATCATTACGAGTATTTATCGTCCGCTTCATAAATCTATTTATGAATCGCTTTTATTGTTAATTTCGTAACAAACATAATATTTCAAAAGTTTTATTGTCCGTCATATAAAATGAGTTTCATAATTTATAACGGAATGAACTGTTCTCATTTATTCACCACGTAACTACGCTTTGAGTATTTGGGAGTTGAAGTTATTTTAATATTTATTTACCTCGACGATTTATTTCTCCTAAAGGAATTCATATTTATGAAATAAGGTATAGACTATGTTTTAGAATAATTTTTGTATAGTGAAAGTATTATTAGATGGGCAGACAATTTTTTCCTTTATCTATCGCATCACGCATTACATTTGACTGCAGAATGGGGATAGTAAGAGAGGCTCGACAACCTTATCTTTGTCAAAATAGGCCTAGTCTACTTGGACAATGTTAATTAAGAGGGATCCTTCGTCTAGCATTTATATTCTCATTCATTAAGTCTCATTTGGTCAAACTATTCATGACGGAAAAATAAATGAAAATTTGTCAGTTCTATACAAATATGGCATCTTATAAAATTTGATATAATGTTTGGAACTAGGTGTTTCCCTTTTCAGTAATGATATTTTATCATAACATATTTTTAGTTGAAACTATAGTTTTCTTGGAACCTTTAACCTTTTGCCTTTAAGTGAGTTAATGTTTTCCTTGTTTATACCATACTGTAATTCGTAGATTGACATAATGTTTTATTGTTATCTTGTTATTATTGGTTTCTCATTATTGAATAGATTTTTTTGTCAATATTAAACTATACAAAAAAAATCTTAATACTTTCACAAAATAAGTAGTTTCTGTCATTAGTTTTGATTATTATTTAAAGGTCATGATCCAAAAGAAATTGACAATATAAGTGTCAGAGTTCAATGTATTTCCACTTTTTTATTTTTTATATAAGCAGTCCTTTTTATTTCTTTCGTGAAATCTTAATGGACAAAAATATATCAAAAATGTAATAAACATGATACATATATTTTCATTTAAAATAAATAAGAACTTCAATAACTTCATTAACACGAAAACTAACGTTTTAAGTAATAATTATGTCTTATCTTATATATAATGTACTTTTTGCAGAAATCGGAAAGAAAATCTAGCAGTATTCATTACAAGCATGCACCCTTTTCTTATGAAACAGAAGTTGGAGTACAGGATATTCATTGTTGAACAGAAAGGTACACTTCAATTGTACACATTGTGGACGTATTGTGTTGAGAAAGAACTTATTCTGGCATTTAATAATTGTATACACCTATAAGATTTTTTTGTTGTACTTTTAATTGAAACCGATTCTGTTTGCAAGATATATTTTCAATTTAATTTTATAAAGTCAGTCTATGATGATAGAAATCTTTTTCTTTTATCGATCTTCTTAGGAACGGAGTTGTTCAATAGAGGGCGCTTATTTAACGCTGGTTATTTGGAGGTACGGAAGTATGGCAATTGGAAATGTGTAGTTTTCCACGACGTGGACCTGCTGCCTCTAGATGAGAGGATCCTCTACTCCTGTCCATTGTGGCCAAGACACATGTGTGGCACTGTCGTCGAGGTTAAAAAGTTAGTTATTTTTACTTATTTTCATTTTGCAATATTAAAAGTTAATAAGCACAGATTAGTAAAATAATATGCTTTGAGACTGAGAATTATATTCAATGAATATTCTAGGTTTTTTTTTGTAAATGTTTTTACGGCTCTGCATACGAGTCCTTTTGCGCCTGACTAGTAATATAGGTACAACAGTGTAGCCATACTTACACAATTACCGCACTTATTACAAACTATAGGTACGACGTTAAATCACTTAATTTCTTTTTGGTAGTTTGTGAAGTAAGAATATGAATTTACATTTTAATTTAAATAGCAATCAGCGTTATTGATGAATTGCAATTCATATAACTGAATTCTTCCTCAGCCCGAGTTTCCGAACACTATTCGGCGGAGTTTCCGCCATGATTCCGCAGCACTTCGAGAAAGTGAACGGTTTCTCAAACGTATATTGGGGTTGGGGTGGCGAAGATAACGACTTGTTTTGGAGGTTATTTTTTTATTATTATTTTACTATATAATTTATAACAAAATTATTTGCTTAAGAGCTTACATTACCAGAAGGGAGCAGTGCATTATACAAAGGAATATTATTAATCATCAAAACACTGCTTCAAATGATTCATATATACATGAAATTGTTGACAAGAAATCATAGAACATTACTACTAACTAATAAGAATACAAGAATAAGATAATTTTTGGTTTTTTTTAGAATCCGAGCCGTTGGTTTACCAATAGTTAGATACAATAAGCTCATAGCAAAATATACGTCACTCCAACATGAAAAGTCAAAACCAAATACACTGAGGTAAGGACATTTGGTTTATTTACTTTCATCTTGGACTATTAAAGTCTCATATAAATACAGAGACAGCATAAATAATCATATAACATGGCGCGTACATGGAAATAAAATGCCATAAACATATTTATTTTAGGGCTCCAACATTCTACCCTCCTCAGATCAATTTCGCTTCACCCAAAAACAGATAAACTTTCCCCTTATACAAAATATTTACGGATCTTGATAAAAAAAATATTTTTTTGAACATATCTAGTAATATTAAAATAATGATGACAAATTAAATTGTTAGAACGTTTTTAACATTAGGGTCTACAAGCACTTAATGTGGAATACACAAGATTTATTTTTCTTAACAAGAATAATTTTCAGATATAACCTTTTGCAAGGTTTTGCCAGGCGTTTCTTACGAGACGGTCTCACAACATTGGAATATGTCGTCGATAAAGTTATATTGCATCACCTCTATACGCACTTGATGCTGGATTTAAATCCCAGGAAGATAAACATTACGAAGATGATGCTAGAAGCATCTAGATGGAAATGAAAATAAATATATTGTAAATATTATTTTTAATTAACAAACTTAAATTTGTTTTCCTCTTCACAGGTAGTATTGAATAAAAAAAATTATGTAAAGGAATTTTCACATCATGTCATATTTATGTGCTTTTGTTTTTCTCAAATATCGCAAACATATTTTATGTTCGTATTAAGTATTTAAGTTTTATATATTTTTATATTCAGGAATGGAATTACTTGATTTTGATAAACATGAGGAGATGACAAAAATTATCTCTAAAAGATTGAATGAATTACAATAATAGAGATATACGAGGGTCAAGCTGAAAGTTCTTAGAAAATCAAAAACTTATTACATTAGCCAGTTATTAGTTTTATTATATCTTTTCAAAATATTGTCCATTCACGTCAATATGCATGCGATGGAACCACTGGGAAAAGCACTTTGCCAACTCGTCTTTAGGGGTCTCTTCAATGGCATCGCGATACGCAGCCACCGCTTCTTCAGCATTCATAAACAACTTTCCTTTAAGTTTTTCTTTAATTTTTGGAAATAAATAAAAATCACAAGGCGCGAGGTCGGGGCTATACGGCGGGTGACCTAGTAATTCAACGTTTGATGTCGCCAAATAGTCGATGGTTCGCTTGGCGGTGTGCGACGAGGTGTTGTCGTGGTGAAGGAGGATCCGACTGCGAGGTCGATTCTCTCGAACTTTTTCCAAGACAAGTGGCAAACAATTGGTAGTGTACCCTTCTGCAGAACTGTTTTTTGATCATCTAACACAGTTGTTGCGAAATGACCTATCCTTCCAAAGAACGAGGCCACCATTTTTTTTCCCGCACTTCGATCTCTCTTCACTTTAGTTGGCAACTCCTCGAAAGGACACACCCACTGAGCAGATTGTCTTTTGGTTTCAGGATCATAACAGTAAATCCAGCTTATGTCGAACACAGCATTTGAGTCACCTCCATTAAATCTTTGAGTTTTTGAGCCTCAGTCAAATTATGAGGTATCCACCGGGCGCAAAGCTTCCTGACCGCTAAATGTTCGTGGAGGATTTTGTGCACTTGACTCATATCGATGCCTAAGCTTGTCCGAATCTGCTGATAGGTCACTCTTATGTCAGTCTCTATCATACGCCGCACAACACAGATGTTATCTTCAGTCATCGGTGTAGGAGGCCGTCCCTTACGTAAATCATCATTGAGATTAGTGCGACCACGTTTAAACTCATTAAACCAGTTGTAAACAGTCGCACGAGATGGGGCCTCATCGTGAAAGGCCAATCGTAGTCTATCATAACTTTCTTGTTGACTTAAATGACATCTAAAGTCATAAAAAATCATTGCACGACAATTTTCCCGTGTTAAATTCATGTTGACGTGACACAAACAATTTTGAATTTGCCGCCAAATCGTAAAACAAATGACAAATATATACTCAGTAATATTGGCAAAGAGTTCTATTTTCAAATCTTCAAATTATTTTTTTATTATATTGTTTATAAGTGGCCAGTTCTACGAACTTTCAGTTTGATCCTCCTAAGTCACCTAAAATGACAAACCTACATATCTAAAATGTTATGGACTTGTTTCTAAAACAGTATTGTACAAAATTATTATAAATATCAATGGGTTAAAGGTTACAGAAAAGGTACCCACTGTGTGTAAAAGGAAAAAAAAAGATTTAAACATCGCTTTCCATTTATTAAAACATATATTTCTCTGATAATATGTGCATTTTCATCGAAATTTTAATGTAATTGTTTAAGTACTGCTTGAAATGGAATATACCTGTCAAAACAAAATTTCATACCAAGCAAGCCTTTATGTGTAAGAGAACAAGCATTTAAAGATATATTAAGTTTTACTAAAAAACAATATTAACATTATTGAGTTTTAGAGACGAATATTAGAATTTTTTATACATTTTACAGTGAAATGTTATTCTGATATTATCTACATTTCATTTGAATCAAAACGTCAAACATTTTGTAAGGTAACGCTGGCAGCACCGGTTGAGAAGCTTCAATAAACGTCAGTTTAACATTGCGGTTTACGGAAGTTGGTGATTCAGTCGGGTGTCCCGTGTTTTGTGATAATTATCGCACTTTCACTATTTTCCTTTTCGAATACGTTTATAATCATCATACGAAAGATACTAATTTGTTTGTTTAGTGGCATTGATAGAAGTGTGTATAATAAATAAGCAGGAAAATATTAAGAGACAGTTCTTGTGCAAAAATATTAACCAGTTTTGGCGCAAGTTGTTTGGAATTTACCAGCGTATGGTCAAAAGGTTGGTTTATTTATATTTTTATTTACATTAAACATTCGTAAACATTAAATGGCGGTAATCACCGCCATTAATTTAAATTTAAATTAAGAACAGAATAAAAAGATTATTTAAGGCTAATCAGCCTGTTCTAAATTTAAATTTAGTACTGCAGATGGAACTGTTTCTGTTAAACTATAAACAAAGACAAAAGATAGCTTTAAATATCTGTTAAATACATAAGATATAATAATAAACGCGATGTTTCGCATTTTCAATGTGCATAAATATGCTTCAGTGGATATAAACGATACATTTTCCTTCTCTAAAACTTAATTTGAACGACTAAAACTGGGCATGATAAAAATTCAAACTAATAATGAATTTTCAGACATATATATAGACACACTTTCTAATATTGTTGTGTGAATTGTTTTTAAATATCAAATATACATTTTAAATAATCTAGTATTTATATACAGTTTGCTATTCATCTTTATTCTACTATGTTTAAAACATAGAATATTTCTCAATATTCCATAATTTTAAACCACTTTGTTATATAATTATCATTCGGTACTTATATGTGAGTCGATGATTTATTTATTTAACTATTAGCATGACAATGAATCGTAATATTTATAAATATATGTGTCCTTACTTTTTATAGCGTTCTAAGTGTTTGTCAAAGAAATTCTATTTATAATATTTCTTTATTGTTATTGAAATTGAAGACCATAAAAATTATAAAACCTAATATATAATTGTGTCGGTCAAAGTAATGGTCTCTAATAATAATTGTACTAAATATTAATATTATGAGTCTTCAGTAGAGTGTGTTCAATGATTTGTTTTTATTGAATGTTATGAAGTAAATTATGAGAATAAAATCTTTTTAAATCCCTCCGTTCGGAATATTTACTTCTGACTAACTCTTAACCAAAGTCTTGGTAGCTAATTATTCATTAAATTATTTATATGAATATACATCTATTAAGAAAATTGATTGTTCATCGTTGTAACTATATTTTTATCTGCTTTTATATGATTTTAATAGTTTATTTATTATCAAAGTAGTTATACTTAATTTTTATATCGTCACTGAATTAGAAAAAAGATACTTCGAGACTATACTACAAAACTAAAATAATATAGTCTTTATTATACCTCGGTATTCAGAATTGGTTCAGCTTAAATTATAGCCAATTAGAATTAAATATTCATTTTATTGATAGGGTAATGAAGACATTTTTAACATTTTGTTGTTAAATTTCTTATCATATAGGCTTGTTAGAGCCATGCAATCTATTTGTGTTAAATTTAAAGTGTCCTACTTTTGTACTTATTTTATTAAACTAGTATTTGTATCCTTGAGAATTCATTATCAATTGACAGTAAGTTTCACTTTAAATTATTGCAGCGTGTAAATTTGTGTTTGAAATTATTCAACAATATTTATTTAGACATAGGTATGGTAATGTTTATATTAAAATGTTGTACTTAGAAGAAATTCTTATTAGGAATTTGGTATACTTTAAACTGATAATTAAATTTAATATTTTGTTAGTGAAAAATTATATTGACCGTTCAATATAATTATTTTTAACCAACATCATGTTATGCTCAGGATATTTCTCTTCACACTTTCTCCTTTAAGAGATTTTTTATTATGAACTTCTAGTTTCAATATTATTATTTTTCAATTTCTTTTATCTTTGTCTGGTTTTTTATTATACATAAGTGTTAAGTTTTTCACAGTAGATTGTGAAATATATTTTGTAAATCTCATAACTTGTTTGTTTCTTTAAAAAGTATTTATAGTATTTAATTACTCCAAATAATATGACAAAAACTTCAATATATATTTTATAAATATATATGTATGATACCAGTTAATCTACTATTATTAAATACCTATTTCGTGTACCGAAATGTTAAGTAAATTATCTTATAATTAATCTCTGATTAATGAGCGTCTTTAAAACTTCGTCTGAAACAAATTACGCCCTGTAAAAGTTATGGCGGGTAACGGATTCTGTCACTCAAGCAGAAAATTAAAGTTTCGAAATGATTTTTTTTTATAGTCGCCTTGTGATGCATAAACTTTTTATTATAATAGAATTTCTATAAAGTGACTCGCAAGAAATTTTAATGCGTCATTTTTTATAACCTGTCAAATCGTTCATTCTTATTTTGAAATGTATTATAATTTGAAGGTTTTTTTTTGTGAAGTAAGTTGACATAAAATTTTGTATGGTAAAGTAAAAATAAATACGTGTATGTAATTCTTTATTTGAAATACCTTGAAGTATTAACAAATAGTTAGAAGTCGTTTCAGTAATGTTTGTTTGCATCTGCTTTTGACAGCTGTACGGAAAACCCATACTGTGTTCTGCCTGCTTTTGGAGCGTGTAAAGTTAGCGTAGTTTATCTGATAAAAATGAAGTATAGTTATTTAATTTAATATCTTACTTGGATTATATTATGCAGTAATTTTAATGAGATTTTATTAAGAAAAACAATGCATTACTATTAACGTTTTTTTATGATTTATGGAATATCTTTAGGTCTTAATATTAAATGTTTACGAAAAGTATCTGTAGTCTTAAAATATATTTAAACATATAAGGAATGTGTGTTAACTGTATCTCGTTTGGTCTTTTGTGTTTTTGATATATTTTTTCTCTGTGGTACAGTAATTTGAAACTGTAAAGTGAATTGACCATGAAAGTGGGTGCCCGCATTCATTT